AAGACAAAATTTTCAATTACATCCTTTCCAAACATTTATAGAATTTGATCTAATATGTAGTTTTAATTTATAGTTAGCCTAGCATTAGATGCTTAAACTAAAAAACAAATAGTTGTTAAAGTTTCTACATTCTTCTAGAAAGTTAAATGAATTTTTTCTGCTATTTTTTGATCCTATTGAATACCTCTGGTATCTCCAAATCCAGGTGTATCAATAATTCTTAATCCAGGATTATTATTAAAAGGCTTTATATAATAAATTATAACATCTTAAGTTTAACTTATTGCTTATGTTTTTGATATGTTTAAGTTTGACTCATTAATCAAGATTAATCGAAAATCATCTATAAATTTTACTCCTAAATAATAATTCAAAAAAAAGTTAATTAAAGTAGTTTTACCACTCCCAGTTTAACCAATCATAATTATTGTTTTATACTCTTACAAATTTTTAATATCTTATTTTTGATACTTTGGATACTAATAATAAATTAATCCATTTTTTTATTCAATTTTTTATAATTTAGATAAAAGTGTTTTCAATTGTTATTTTAACAACAAATCTTCATTATTCTAAGAATTTTGTACTGGTACTTATTTTTACTATTCAATGATTTAATGAGTTTAATATTAATTATTTTAATTAACTTAAGTTTATCATTAATTAAAGGTAAATGGTTAACTATTTGTATTCAATGTTGTTTGATTTTAATATAATGCAGAATCTTTAGTTGAGATTAATCCATTATAATTAATAGGGCATTAAGTATTCATTTAAGGTTTATTTAAATTTATAGAACCATTTGATTGTTACCTTGTGATTAAAGAATTTTATTTTTCAGTCTTCCATTTTCTAAAAGTGTATTTTGGGATTAGATAACTATTAAATGCTATATCTTCACTTAACTGAAATAGTTAGTCTTCGCTCTCTATTCCTCCATCTATTAATTTCTAAATAGTATCTTCAAATTTAGAATGTTTAAATTTTATTTCTATAAAGTTTTTGAAAGTTTCTGGCAAGCACTTTAATTCTAACATTTATTTATTGAAACCAAATTTGTTTAAATCCTCTTCATCCATTTCCCATAACATTTATTTTGAATTAATACCATAAGATTCTAGTTCTTGAATAATTTTAAAAGTTTCTTTTGAATCATTTACATTTTAGTTTAAAGTTTTAAAAAGCTCGATCATATCCTTCTCCTCTTTATTTATTAGGTTAGATTAAATTTTATATAAATAAATCAAAGCATTATCAATAGTAGTTATGTTGGACTACTCTATTTCTTTGATTATTTTTGAGCTATCATTTTATGACATATTTATATTTTTTGTGGAATTTTAGAATTTATAAAATGGATTGTTTTTCTATCAGAATTTTTAATAGAATTAAAGTATTATATATATGTATTCTTTGTAATTTGAAAATGAGAATTGAATGTTTATAAAAGATAAAATAGAATTAGCATTATATCTTTAAGGAGAAAATCAATAGATTGGCAATTTAAATTTATTAAAGGAATTAATTAGAACAGAATATGACAAAATCATTTCAAATAATATTTTATATTTATACTATGAAATTAGATCAATTAAAAAAGATGAAGCGACGGCAAAAAAAATCTTAAGAAAACTCCTTACTTTTGGAGTTGAATCTTTATAAATTTTATAAAAAATGGAAGTTTGCGATCTTGAGATTTGCGATCTTAAAGAATTTAATAGTCAAACTCACCTTAACCCTGATTTTTAATCTTTTATATATGAAAACTTTATGGCTAATAATCTTAATATTGATAGTTCAATAAATTTTTTAAAATCTAATAAAATATTTACTTTAGAAGAGTTTTATAAAATAGATGCCAAGTATGTCCAGGATAATTTCTAATTGTAAAAATATAAATTTTTAGAATTACGAGAAGAATATTGCAATACTCAAAAGAGTAATAATTAAAAAGAGAATCCGATTAAAAATTACAAATTAGCTAATTAGAACTTGAATTTGCCTATTAATTCAATTTATAAAAGTTCAAACAGTCTTAATTTGTAAGAAAATGCTAATAATATTGAAGACTGTAATGTTACGATTTAAAAAATTTAAACTTAGGTTGATTTTATTCAATAAAGTAGAATAATTAAAAAAATAGGTAATATATCTATTAAATAATTCCCAAATTATTCAGAATATTTTGCTAAACAACCTAATGAGATTAAAACTATCTTATTATTTGGATAAACTGGAGCAGGAAAAACTAGTTTAATAAATTTAATTCTTAATTATCATTTTAAAATATAGTTTGAGGATAATTTTCGATTAATATTTAATGATTGTTCGAATAGTGATAAAACGAAAGAAATTAAAACTTACTATATTCCACCTTTTAACGATAAACCAGAATTATTAATTATTGATACGCCAGGCTTTGGATCTGTAAATGATGAAACATTAAGTAAATAGATTTTAAACTTTTTAATGTCTTAATTATATATTACTTTAATTTGTTTTGTTACTCCAGCATCAATACCTCGTTTGTCAGTACAAGAACATTCTGTATTAAATTATGTTTAGCAAATGTTTGGAATTAATTTTGTTAATAATTGCATTTTTACATTTACATTTTGTGATTAAGGACAACCTTAAGCTTTACAATCTCTAACCTTTAAGGGAGATTATTATTAAAAGGAAAGCCCAGTTGCTTAGTTAATCTCTAAAATGGGAGAAAATTGGTGGATTAAGCTAAATAATTAATCATTATTGACTGAAAATTCTGGAGAAGATATTAATCTTTAATTAAATTAGATGCAATGGAATAAAAATATGAATAGCTTAAAGTAATTATATCAAAATAAGTTACTGGTTTCAAAAAATGTAAATTGCCTAGTTTTTAAATAAAATTAATTCCAAATCAATAATAAATTAGAAGGCACTTTCCAATATCATAAAAATGTGTTAATAATTTTAATTCCTTATCTTGAAAAAATAAAATTTAGTTTTAAATCCCATTAGAATAATGTTAAATAAAACTATTAGTTTGACATAAAAGTGTTAGAAAATTGTAAAGAAAATTAGTAAGATTATGCCATCAATTGTAATAAATGTCAGACCACTTGCTTTTTTCCTTTAAAGGTATCTGATTCAATTTCAACTTTTTTTAAGTTTTTGAATAACCAAAATTAATGCATTTGTTCATGTTAATAGATGGATCATTTTTTAGAAAGATTTAGATATAATTTTTAAGAAAAATCAATTTAAATACATAAGGCTGAAAATAAAAAGAGAGGAAATTTTTACAATATATGGCAAACTGAAATTGCTGAGTTATACATTAACCATTTAAGAAATTGGCAAAATATATTTTGGAAAATGGTCTTATGTTATATTAACATGTTAAACTTGTAATACACTCCTGTTTACAATCTAGAAGTTGATTTTTAAGCATTGGTAGATATTGAGAAAAAAAGAAATATGAATTACTTTAAAGAAATAACAGACAGAAATATTAGTTGGATATTAGCTGATATAAAATGGGCCACATTAGAGCATATAACTTAAGATTAAGCTATAGAATATATGAAATGATTAGAATTAACAATAAAATTTTAAGTTAGATTTTCTAAATATTAATTCGAAAAATCTTGATAAAATTTATTATTTCTCATTCGAAATAAAATAAGTTTTAAAAATATTTTTATTATATATGTGCGTATAATAATTGAAAAATATAATATTTAAAATTTACTCATTATAAAATATTTTAAATTAAGTATAAAATATTCAAATTTTGGAAAAAGTAATTTGGAATAAAAAAACAATTTAAGACATTAGATCAGAAAAAAACTAAACATATTTATTTTATTTAAGTAAATCTTATTTAAAATGAAAATTGAAATTCAAAAATTTATAAATAAATTATTTTTAGGAGTATGTAGTATTGGCCTAGAATAATTCCCATTCATTCATTAAACCTAACAACATCTAGATTAAAATGTTTCCGTAATCATATGTTCTACTCTGGTTGTATCTAAATTGGATTAAATTTTAATAATATACGTATGAGCAAAATAATTCAATGCTCTTAAAATTTTTAAATTATTAAAACAAAATTATGATATAAATTTATAAATTTTATTTTTGATCTTGATTTTTTTATCTTTGATTGGGTAAAATCAGCAAATTATGGATTCAGTTATAAAAATTTAACAAAATTATGTGTTTCTCTGTAAAATGTAAAAGATTGGATGAACATTGGTCTCAATAAATTATTTTTATACTTAAAAGAATTTTAGAATATTATAAATTAAATAAATTTTATAAATAAAAATACTTAACAATTATGTCAGAATCAAGAGCGTAAGTAAAACTTTAATGATAAAATTAGATTTGCTAATGCAATGTAAGCACTACAAAAAAAGGCCTCATTTTTGGAAGAAGATAATAAAATCTTGGTTAACTAATTAAAAAGTTTTCAATATGAATTATAGAAATTAGTGGAAGAATTGTCAAATAAAGAATGTATATTTGAAACTTTAGAGAATAAACTGAAGACAACAATTGCTTAATTAGAAGAAGAGTTATTTAAGAAAGATGAAGAAATTTTATAAAAAGATGCATAAATAGAGAGTTTATCTTAAGAATTACATTAATCTTTAATTGATTAAAGTAGAGTAATGGATTAATAATTAATTGATAAATAATAATTGAGTGAATAATAGGAATAAATTGAAAAATTAAAATAAGTAATTCATAAATTAAAAGAGCCAAGAAAGGAAGATGCTAGATTTACTTAAAGTGAAAAGAAAACAAGTTTTGTATCAAAATTAGATAATGCTGTTGAATAATATTTTAATAATGAAAATTAAGGATATGAATAATTGATTAGAAGAATTTCTAGATTAGAAAAAGAAATAAAAGAAATGGAAAATGAACAAAGTAATAAAATACTTTTGGATTAAAAAATACAATTATTAAGAGAATTATAAGAATAGGAAGAGTCACTTTTACAATATATTTGAACTTAATTAAAATTAAAAAATCATCCACTTGTATATTTGGTGACTGCTTTAGTTCCTTCTGAAATGGCATGTCTGGCCAATTCTCCTGGAAGTAATAATTTAACAGCAGTTTAGATTTCTCTTGAACTAAGGGTTCTTCTCTTATTAAATCTGACTAATTTGCTAGCTTCAAGTGCAATTCTATCAAAAATATCATTAATGAATGAATTCATGATATTCATAGCCTTTCTAGAAACACCAATCTCTGGGTGAACTTATCTTAAAACTTTGTAGATATATAATGCAAAAGTTTCTTATCTTCTTCTTGCCTTCTTCTTATCATCTGTTGTTTTTTTTGTTTTAACAGTCTTTACAGTTTTTTTTGCTTCTGCTTTTGGTGATTTTGATGGAGCCATTTTAATTAATATTTTAAAGTGAAAACCCAAGCGCTATTTTTAAAGAAAATTCTTAAATCTGATTGGCTGATTAAGGATAATTGTATATCTTAATTTTCATTGGTTGTTGTTCATAAAAAATGACTAAAATGCTTCCAAAATAGTGCAGCACAATGGAATACACTTCATTTTTTATCAATTTTAGCACTTTCCTCTCTCCATTCAGCTTTTTTAATAAATAAAGAACTTAATTAATATAATTTTTTTATAATTATACACCCCCTCTATCTCTACTCATTTAATATAAAATGAATAATAATTTATATGTCTAACGAATATGAATCGAAAATTTTGTTTGCTATTTATCGTCTATATAAGTCAGAATAAATTAATGAAAACTAAAGGGGAGAACTTAAAGGTAAAATATAAATGAACATTTTAAGATCTCCTTATAACAAAGAATAACCAAATAATGAACCTTGTCGAACCCTTTGAAGAAACCTTGCTTACAATATTTGATAATCATTCTGATGCTACATCCTAATGCAGTTAAAAATCATACAAAAATTTGAGACCATCTAAACTAGATATTAAACCTGCATATAGAAACTCATTGCAAGATATTTCTTAGAGTATCAACCATTAAAGTTTATCAACCATGTTCAAAAAGAAAAAATTCGTTAATTGATTTTACTTTTTTAGACACTTATTATTATAAATGCAATTCTGAAAAATTATCAAAATTTAGTTTGCTTCTCATTTTTATTCATTTTATGAATCTTAGCATATCATATTCATTATTAAATTAGATTTATAGATATATAGATTTAATTATCCTTTATTAATGTAGATTTAAAATTATAATTAACAACGAAAACATTAGTTCTATGTGATGGAATACTACTTTAATAAAGAACTTTAATTTGACAGAATAATTTATTTATTATTTATCTTGTTTATACTTTTAAAATGTTTCAAATACATTATTTTAATAAAAATATTACAAATTAATTAAATTAATGTGGAACCTTATTTCAATAAATCCTATCTGTTAGAGAAAGAAAATAGTAAATGATCAAGAAAAGTTATTATCTAAAATAACAAATACAAAAAGCAGAGTAGATACATCTGCACCTTGGAGACCATCACATTCACTATCGAAATGGAATAATAAATATGCACACGGTACAAGTCATACTTAATAAAAATTTAGCTGAGGAAAATAAGATAGTGTATGAAAATAATATACTTTTAAATAAAATGGTTAATATTTAGAAATAAGGGAATAAAAGTCTTATTTCTATGCCATAATTACCTAAATCATAATAAATGACAAAAAGAATATAAATTGAAAAATTATAATAAGAGAACTAAGTATTATTTGATTATATCTAAGTAATTACTGGACAGATTATAGACTGCGTAAGCTACATATAGTAAATAATTTTGGGCACCAGATGATTAGAGAAATTAAGCTTATAAATAATTGCATAGACCAAGTGACTGTTACATTTATTTTAGAAGTTTAGCAACATGATTATAGTGAACTAGCAAGAAAGCAATTAGGATCCAGATCAGCGGCAAGATTTAATGAAATACCAGATTCATGATAATAGATGCCTATATTTAATTTTCCATTCTTTCATATATTATTTATTGCTGATTTTCTCTTTCATATCTTCTTCTTGTATCTAATTGATGTCAATTAGTTATTATAAAAAAATTTAACTTTAAATATTCATGCAATAATTTGATTCCAAATAATTACATCATCAAATGAATTGATTAAAAATAGCTACCTATTAATTTGAAAAATAACCAAAGTCTTAAATAAAGTAAATCAAATTAATTATAGCAGGCTGTATAGATATTTTCTATTGTTAGCCATTTACTATAAGGAGATTATCAACATAAAAAAATCTCCTCTTTATCGAAATCAAAACTTATATCTTTAATTTATATAAAGTAATTAGATTTGTGGTGGACGCATATCCTTAATTATTCTACGATATGAATCAGAATTTAAAATCATTTATATAAAGGATAGAAATTCTAAACCAAGAAATTTATGTAAATACTAATTTAAAGCTTAAGGAGATATCACAACTATAAGCAAAGTCAAAATTAATAAATTAAGAATAATCCTCTCCAAATTCTAATTTAATTACTTTCTATAATAATACTAAACCAATTTATATCAAACAAATCAATAGCTAATTAAATGTTATTTTGTTAGGTTCTATAATATATCGCCACATATAAAGCAATAGTCTGATAATTTAAACAGTTTTTATACTTATTCGTGTATTCATTTTTTTTGAATGATTTAATCGGCAGAGCATAAAATAAAGTACTCTGGAATGATTGAAATACAAATTATTGTTTGTAATAATCCAAATCATCAAAATAAATTTGAAGATTTCCAACTTTATCATATCTTTAACCAATAAAAAATAGCTACAGAAAGTAAAGATCTAAAACAAAACAAACTTGACAGCTCATCTATGTAAATCTCCTGATAATTTTTCTAAGTTCAAAATTATGTAAGCATTTCTTAGTTGTAACTCTTTCTTAAATAAATCAATATTTAAAAAATTACCAAAAGTAAAATTGAACTAATAATAAAATCCTAATTTGGTAATATATTCAATTATACAAATAGCTTTTAATAATCTTAAAACAACGAATAATTTTGATACAAATAATAAAACTAATAAAACCGATCCAGCAAGGCAACATTATTATATTATCTTTATTTAAAATTCTTCAATTAAAATTGAATTTTAAAGTATTATGACTTTCCATAAATAGATTTTAATTGCTATTATATAATATTGATAAAACTAGCCGATTCTAATAATCAGATTTTTCATATTATTTTTTGAATTTTAGAAATAAAAATACTTTTTTTCAATTTCATTAAAGGTTTTCTTATTTAATTTTTATCCCTAAAATATTCTTAAGCTTTTTGTATTTAATTGCATATTTTGAGACAAAAAAACAAGTATATCGTTTTTATGTTCATTATTATAATTAAATTCTAAATTATCAATTAAAATGGCTGAAGAATCCGTCCCTTTAACGATTAATCAAGGTCAGAAGAATTATAAAACAAGTTTAAATAATGAAAGAGAATCTTCTCAGTTTTTCTGCAATAAGTGTACAAAAGTATAGGAATCAATGGTTGATCATAAAATTGGAACTTGGACATTAATTTGTTGTGGTATCTGGTGTTTACTGACATTCATTGGAGGATTGATACCTTTTTGTTGTAAACCTTGCAAAGATGTTGTTCAATATTGCCCTGAGTGCAATTAAAAAGTAGGAGAAGCTCCATTCTCTCCTTGCTGAAATATTTAATGAACAATATTAATATAAATTTATTATTATCATAGAGTTGTCGAATCAATTACTTTCGCTATTTAAGGTTTCTTACTTAGGCTTAGTAATTTTGAAAAAGAAGAAATAGTTAAAAAATATCCAATAACACAATAAAATATAAATGTTGGCTTTTAAAGACAGTTCTCCTACTAGACTGCTATTACATTTATTGAAACTGTTTCTCCAGCTATAAGCAAAGTCATAAGCAAAGCCCATTTATTATATTATGAATGTTGAAATAATTATCTCAATAGAACAATAACAATCCAAACACATATTTAAACATTTCCATACACATCACAATTATATTAATCCCAATGAATTATCAGATGACAGGCAAGTTGAATTATTAAAAGGAATAAAACTAAATCTCTTGTTCTAAAACTATAATTCATTAATATTATTATATATTTTTATTTTTTCATTTTAATCTATATAGAAAAAATTCAAATTTAAAAGGTTGAGAATTTTTTATTAATCATATTTAAAGAATAATAAACCTTAATTTTAATGAAAATAGATTTAAGTTCTAGCTAAAATAGATTAGCAGTAAAATCAAAATTTCGATTTATTTATAATCGATATTAAAATAGCCTTTCTACTTATGACAAGCTGTTATGTGAAGTTAAAATTTGACTTTACAAAACAATTTCTAGATATAATTTTCAATTTCCCCTATTAAATTGAAGATACTATCCAAAAATTAACATAAATTTTCAGAGACAGTATGTTTTTCAATTTCTGTATAAAAATCTCAAAATCTTCATAAATTAAGTTATCTTTTGTTTAATTTTTTAAGACTATAAAATATTTAATCAACCTAATTATTCTAGATTAATATTATGGAATTATTGCTAAAAATATTTGATTAAAATTAATGGTAATTAAATTGTTTAGATAAAAAAGTGTCATGTTTTAGAATATGGAAATTAAGAATAATTATCTCCTGTATAATGACTTTATCTACTATGATACTAAGTAAAAAATAAAGAATATTATTTGTAAATTAACATGAATTCTGGTATATTTTGACTGATATTCCGCGGATATATAAAACTTGAATATAAGCGAGATTAAATTCTGATTCAAAAGATATTCCTATCATTACACTTATTATCAAGAGAATAAATTATTATTTAGTTGATTTTCTTAAAGTATGAAAAAAAGAATTTAAATGTTAGATGTTTTAGATATAAAATAATAAATCAACTATTAGCATTGATTGATAAGCTGTAGACAATTTATAAATTCTATTTTAAATATTTTGAATTTTGGCTTATTATGTGACATATGGCGTGAAATATAATTTTAATAATAAAAATAGTTCGTTAAATTATTAATGTATTTGGCTTAGAAATAGATGTATTCATAACATCCATCTTATACTAATGGATCATCACAGAATGTAAAAAAGATGATAGAGAACTTTTCATATGGACTTCATTAGTAAATAGGAAAAGGATTCAGTAGTAAGGTTTATAAAGGATAAAATGAAGTAACAGGTGATATAGTAGCCATAAAGGTAATATGAAGACTATTTAGGTAATCGACAAAGCTTTATTGAAGACGCCTTTGCATCATGCCTTATTGCAAAGTGAAATAGAAGCTCTAAGCACTTTAGATAGTTAATATATAATGAAATTATACAAAGTACCATATTAAATTAAGCATATAGGTGTTTTAGACTTAAAATAACACTTATTTAATAACAGAATTTTGTGAGAATGGTGATTTGGGAAGTAAATTAACAAAGATTGGTAAATTTCCAGAACAATAAGCCTAAAATGTTATTTTTGGATTAGTTAAAGCATATAAATTATTGAAATAGAATGGGATAATACATAGAGATATTAAGCCTGCAAATGTATTATTATCATAATGTGGTACTCCAAAATTAGCAGATTTCGGATTTGCAACAACTCCTAATTCTCCTCCATTGTTACCAAATGTAAATGTTGGTAGTCCTCTTTATATGAGTCCATAAGCTCTTAAGAATAATAAATATTCAGATAAATCTGATATCTGGGCGATAGGAGTATCAGCCTTTGAAATATTATTTGGTTAAGTACCTTGGTAGGCAACAAGTGAAAAGGAATTAGGATAAAAAATGGTAAGCGTACCATTAACATTTCCATCTTCAACCAAGGTTAGTTAAGAATGCAAAGAATTTATTAAACGTTGTTTAGTTGTAAATGAATAAGAACGTGCATCAATAGATGAGTTAGAAAAACATCCATGGATAAGAGGACCAGAATTAGCATTTTAAGTTAATAAATAACCAGCTTTAATGAAATAAAAAACATTAGAATAACCAAAAGAAGGTAAAGAAAACAGTGCCAAAAAATTACCTGGAGATTCTATTCATAAAAGTGGAAAGAAACATACTACTCAAATCACTAAACCTTTACCATAATAATCTAAATAAAGTATTTCTATTTATATAATCTTTAGCTGAAATAAGTTTTTTTGATATTAAAAGTAATACTTCTAATATTGAATATACTATTATGTCTTAAATTAATTTTTGTAAATATTTATTTAGAGTTGCAAATTTAATTGAAAGTACCAATTTATTTAGAACTGAATTGCTTAGAGATAAATTGTTATTCTTTGCTATAAAAAATATAATGATCAAAATGTTCAAACTCAAAGATATTGTAATTTTTATCATCTATATTTAGGATTCAAATTCTCTTGATATTTAAGGATTTGATACTTATAAGACCTCAAATTAGTTTTAATAAACCTAAATTACTATTTAGTAACACTTTACTAAATACTAATCATACTTTAAAAATATCTGGTCTTTATTATAATAGAACAAAAATGAGTTATCTATTGATAAAAAATTTGATGCTGTTTTTGATGAAAACTTTACTGAATTCGAATCATTCTATATTATATTTAATTCTGTTTTACGTTAAGCAATTAAGGAATTACAAAAAGAGATTGATAAAAAATTAAACTCAGAGGATTTATCTAAAAGTTTACCTGTTGATATGGAAAAAGATGTTGTGTTATTAGATTATTTAGTAACATACTTTTAATTATCATAATTAACTTTAGAAACCTTTAATAAACCTTATGAATTTGCATAGAAATCAAAAATAGAGCATATTGCAGATGGCAGTCCTGTTAGATTGACTTATGGACACTTTATTGAAATCAAAAATAAAATGAGTGACTTAGAAGTTTGATTTTTAATTTACTTTATGAAATATTAAATTTATTAAAATCATCTGAAATCTTAACTTCAGGAACTATAGTTCGTTAAAATTCAAGCCTATAAATGGATTCTAGTTTATTATGAAAAACAAGTAATCTTAGATAGTCTGTTCGTCTGAAAGCATTAATGTATTTTTTGATTGATATAATCCAAAGTATGGAGAATATTGAATTATGGGAGCCTTTGCTTTTTCAAAAGGATTTATGGGAGCAAAAATTCTCTTAAAACATATGCTGAATCTATTGAGTTTATTCAAACTAAAAGATATTAACAAGGTTTTAGATGGACAGCCAATGACATTTCTATAAATTTATATGATAAACTTCATCTTATTTTGAGAGAAAATTAATCACTATAAAATCTTTATGTTGAAGAAATCAAAAGTTATTTATATGATTAACTCAACAGTAACCAAGTTCTTTACATAAGCAAAGTTGATAAATCTATAATCAAATTGAAAAATATTTTGAATGAATTATTGATATAGTGAATTGATTTAGTATGTTAATATCTTGATTTCTAAAAATAATGATTATATTCAATCAAAATTCTAAGATAATAATTATAAATTATAAATTAATTTAAATAATAATTCAAATAGAATCTATTTATTATAAAACTAAATCGTAGTAACTATTATCAATATCAGCTAAAGCCATTAGACGCTTATCCTCTTTATTATTAATAATAGGTGATGCTTCATATCTTTTAATGCTATTTTTACTAAATAGAATTTACTCTATTTTTGGGTCTATTTGTTGCTCATAAAAGCCTTAAAAAATTGTTCTGCATTATGGACATGAGTGACTTTTCTCAGACCACTTTTATATACAGGCAAAACAGAATGAGTGTTTACATTAATCCAAAAATACCTAATTTAATAAGTGATTTAGGTCTTACTTAGTTACAAATTTAATTCAAACAGACGACACAGTTTTATTTTTATATATTACTTCTCAAATCCATTCTAATTAGTAAATAATTATTAAATTATTCTGTTTAGAATAATTCAAAATAACTTTTATAGTTAATTTTATGGATTGTAATTAAATAATCAATAATGAATAAATCCAATATTTTTGAATCTAATTTATTACCTTCTTTCTCATCTTCAAATACCATATCAGTTCCATCTTATAACATAAACTAATTTGATTATGTCTATATATTTCAGCTCTTATTTGATTTATATGCTTAATCTATAATTAATTATATTATCTAAACTTTATTTCTGAAATTAATAAATATGGAAATCTTAAGTTATCATCATCTCCTTTTTTGTTGAAACTTAAGATACAGTATTTTATGTTCTACTTTTAAATAATATTCCAGCTTGAGGATGATACTAATGAAGAAATTAATATAATTGTTTCTTATGCTATATCATCTTCAAAAGTTTCAACACAAAGATTATTAAAAAGAAATTTCATAATTTAATCGAATTTTGGAATTACTATCAAATCTGAATTTCTGAACTTTTAGTTTTTAATTGCACCCTTTAAAATCTATAAATAATGTAACGTATTTTTTATACTATTTAATAAGACTCTTGTTCTATTATATGATTTCATTTCGTGAACTTGATGATAAATTAACTGTTAATGCTATTGATTCTTTACCAACTATTGTTGCAGATAAGTTGAACAACAATCTTACTACTAAAGCCATGCATTCAATAAAACAAAAATTCAATCTAATTTTATGATATAAAGTTAGTAAATATAATAAATTTATTGAAAAAAATTAATAATTTAATATTATTAGCATAATACATTATAATTCTCAAAAGAATTAAATATCTAAACTTAATTGTATAAATAGATTAGTATCAGCATTAAAGAATCTTCTAAATTTGCTATTTGTTTTCTTCAATCAATTAAATTTTATATTCATTGACTATACTCAACTCAAAATTTGAGAAATCCTTAATGAGAATCGTTCTGCACTTATTTTATATTTCATAAGGAAATATTATGAGATATGAATATTTCTAAATTTTCCTATTTAGTTGCTTGACCTTAGAAATTTATTTGATGATATTTTTTAGGCTCATAATAAATGATTCCAACAACTTCAAGTTCTTAAAAATCTATTTTAATTATTTAGATTATCTCAATAATTGCTAAAAAAAATATTCATATCAATTAATAACAAGAATTTCTTTTTGCTGGCTGTTGTGATTTTTTAGAATCCATAATTTCTTACTACTACTTTTTATTATAAGTAATTCTAATAACGATATCGAATAAGGGTTTAAACCTTCTTATGTTAATGCTCAAACTTCAAATAATTAAACCTTTATATTTTTAACTAATTATTCAGCATTTATTTTTTATATATTTATTTACTGCTGATTTTTTAATGTATCTTGAATTGGCTTCTTCGTCTCTCATATAATTTATTACCTATTATTAACTTTTGAACTTAAGCAAATTTATCTTCATTCAATTCAGGATAGCTATATAATCAAAATCTCTTTCTCTAAAGCCTTTTAAAAAGTTGTATGAATAAACAATTAATAAAAATTTAGTCTATCATAGCTCAATTTTCAAACTTGATAATATCCTTCCTAAAGTTTCTGCCATTTTAAAAAAGTAATTATTATTTATATATTTTAATTAATATATTAAAATAGTATAATTAACATTAAATGTTCCTTAATTTTTAGTACTGCCACAAATTTCTTGATTAAATTATGTAGGCTAACTTTAAGAAAATAGCTCTTTTATTTATTTAAGTAGGTTTATTAAAATAATATTTATAGTCATTTTATTACTTTTTTAGATTTCACCTGATCATTATATTTCTAAGAATGTTCTAATTTATGCAAAACTGAAGTATTGCTTTATTTTTTAGTCTGAAACTTTGATTTCATACATGGAGTATTCTTTGTATTTGTTTAGGCTTCTTCCTCGTATTCCTCTTTGATGATCAATTAGTCACTTTAATTTGCACTTTAGTTTGCAAATCGAAGTTATTAACTAGTATTGCTGTATATACTTAACTAAAACTATAATAGTTAAGGAATGTAGAACTGTTTTAGTAATTATCTTAATAATATAGATATTTCTTACTGTAAAGTCGAACTTAATTACAATTAATTGCTGATCTGCATTTTCTTTTTATCAAAAAAACAAATAATTTTATAAATTAATATAATGATTTTTCTTCCAAAATTTATGAATTATGAATTTAATATATCTTTTAAATTAAATTATCAAAGATATCATAAATTTTTTATTTTAATTGCTTTTATAAAAAATGCTCTTAAAAAAAAATAAAATAAAATGCATCAAAATCTAATAATCTATATTTTCTAACTAATCCAAACTTCAAAATTTATCTCATACTCTCTTTGATTATTTAAATATATATGAAATCTAATCATTTTTGATATCTTATTCATCTATCAGGTAAAAAAATGGTCTAATCAAGAGTTTAATGATATTTAAATTTACGATTTTTCTGGCTATGATAAATTTTTTAAAAATATAAAATTACTTATATTATATAAAAAAATTGGAACAAAGATAATCCTTTAAAAAATATGTTTAGAATTGATATTGAAAGGATAAATTTGTTAAAAAAAATAATTTAGTAAAGAAAATTTGGTTTAATAAATTTTTTTAACTTAAAAATAATATTAATTTTTAATTAATGCAGACAAGATCAAATTTTAGATGGAAAACCCCATCAAGATTATAAATCAAAACACCAACTTAATAATAAATTGTTGCTTTGTCGTAAATGATGATTAGAGCAGAGTCTACTAAAAGAAGGCCAGTTAAAGTTAAGCATTTTGAAAAAGAATAGATAATTTATAATGTTGAATCTTAACAATTATTACATTCAATTCCAATAATATAAGAAAACTTAAATAAAGAGTATTTGATAATTATTTTATTAGAATGTTAGTGTTAAAGAATAATTAAATAACCTCAATGAAAGGTCTTTTTGAATACAAAAATTTAAATTATATTGATTTATCAGCAAACTAAATAAAAGAAATAACAGATATTAACTAGTTAAATATTTAGGTTCTTATGATATCATATAATAAATTAAAAGAAGTTAAAAATTTGCCATAAAGTTTAAAAATTCTAGATGCTAAAATAAATATGATAGAAAGAGTGGATTTATAGAATCTAAATAATTTAAAAGTTCTCAATTTATAAAAAAATAACATCTCTTCAATTAATTTATATGGGTTGTATAATTTATAAAAGGTTTATCTAGATGAAAATAAAGTATGTATATGATTGATTTAGATTACTTATTTTATAGAAATCCCTTACTTGGAGTAATTATAACTTTTATCATTACAAAACAATCAGATAATAAAAGCGTTTGAATAATCATAATTAGCAAAAATCCCTAAGATAAAATAAATTTATGTTTAGGGCAATCCATTTTCAAGATTTGTTTAATATGAAAATTATTTAGATTATCTCTGTGATTTAAATGGGTAAATAAAACCAAACAAATTAAGATGCAAATCTGTAGAAACTCAAAAAAGTTTAAAATTAGATACCTCAGATGCTTTGATTGCAAAAGAATAAAAATTAAACATCGTCGATTTTCTAGAGTAGACACCATTTCTTTAAACTACTTAAAATAAATAAGGATATACTTTTAATTAATAGCTAATACAAAAAATAATTAAAAAGAATTCAGGTGAATATAGTAATAACTATAGAACTGAAATAAGTTAATAAGGAAAAAGGGATAAATATATTAATTAATTTTCTGTTAAGCAAGCATAAATAAATTTTGTTCCTGATTTTTCATTTATTAAGAAAATCAACAAAAAGACAAAATCAGAATTATTTAATTAAAATGAAATAGATATGATTCGTTAAATTAAATAATAATTTAATCAAAAAGAGCCCATAGAAATGTGTGTAAGCAAGTATTTTAACCTTTCAAAATGTTTAATTATCTATGGGAATCCTATAAATATTGATTAAATTGAAGTTGATAGTTTGGTTCTTAAATATTATGAATTGAATAATTTACAGAATTGTAATCTGTTTAATTTTAATAAAATTACTAAATTGACTTTATAGCATAATCGAATATGTAATCTGCATGAAATTAATCTTTTAAAGAATATTTTTCAAAAGATAGTAATTTTATAAATAGAAAAAAATGAGATAAATAGCTCAACAATATTAAAACCATATGTGAATTATATATTTTCTCTTGATGAGAGAGATAAACGAAATTTTCAAAAATTCTCTGAAATAAAATCAAACGTTTAAGATAATATAGAAATTGATGATACGGTGTACCCAAAAATAAATATAAATTAGTTTGATTATTTCTTTAACTCATATATTTTATCAGTTATTGATTAAGTAAATGCGTAATGATCATAAATTTAAAATAATATTATATCTAATAATGGTAAAATATGAATGTCCTAGATGAAAGTATAAATAAAACTATGATGGTTAAGGTAGTAATTGTTTAGTATGTAATGCTTAAATGAAATAAATAAAAGATCCAAAGAGATTGACAGACAACTTAATGTAGCTTTCTTTGCTGATAGCAATTGCTGAGGTTGCACAGAAAAGAAATGAAGAAACTTTTTTATATATATTAGAAATTTTAATATTGATAATTGGCTGAGTGTTACATTATAGTTAATTTTGGAGAGAATTCTTTCATATACAGTCACAGGTCTAATGGGTTTAAAAGCGATTTGGTTAATAGCAGGATTCTATTGTCCAAATATGACGAATATAAATTAACAAATTAATGATTGATCGAGTGAAAATGGAATTCTTAAATATAAATTGTATATTAATATACAATATAAATTTATCAGACTTAAAATTCTAGAACTCAACATTTACATTTATCTTAAATAGCAGATTCATCAGGGGTTTCTGTTTTATTTGGAAACAAAACTCCACAATTTTTATTACTCAAATCAATCTAATTTTCTTGAATCATTTTTAATATGGATTAAGATAAGGATTATAAGGTTTCTTCTATATTTTTACCTGTTAAAGCAGATGTTTCGATATATTAGCTTCCAATTTTTTTGGCTAATTGTTATCCCTCCTCAGTAGTTACTTCCCTTAATATGAAAATAGTTTACCTCTTGTTCATAAGATCTGATTTATTTGCAATTAGTATTATTTTAATTTTTTCATTAGCATACTAATTGATTTCTTATTGCCAACTTTTTATATTATCAAAAGAGGCCCTGTTTTTCATATCAAATACTAACATTATCCCAATTGCTCTATTTATAATAAATTTATTAACCCTCTATAATAGGATCTTGTAATCGATCTAAAATTTTCTTATCCAGCAGTATCCCAAATTCTTGCCTTTATAATTTTCCCTTAAACTTTTAATATTTTAGTAGCTATATCAACACCCAATGTCACTTCATGGTTTTCTTTAAAAGAGTTTCCATTTATTCTACTGAGAATGCAAGATTTTCCAACAGCTAATGTAATTTAACTTAATTACAAGAATCCCCTATGATAACTAATTTAAACATGTAATCAAAATCTAATGCTTCTTCTGTCATAATTTTATTAAAATATTTGATGAAATCGATTATGAATTAATTTTCCTTCTAAATATTTCAAATAATTACACAATAAAAATTAATAACAGCTTTATGAGATTATCATAACCACCTACAATAACATAGCAAACTTTTAGTTTTGGTCAAGCAAACTCATTCATTCAAAGGACTTAATAAACTTAACCAATTATTAGAGTAAATCAACCATGTTTCAGAGTCTATACTTAACCTATGCAAAATAAAAGATAATCTAAGAGTCCTTTTTAAAGAGGATATGATACTTAAGAAGAAAATAGAACTTTAAAAATGTATATATAATAAATGGAGCAAACTTTAATAAATCTTTAACAGAAGTATTGCTTTCATTATACGATTAGCAACAAAAGACTTATGCTTTAATAATAATTGAAAGAAAATTCTCATTAAAGGGATGAAATTTAGAAACTTAAAATCGAAATATCAACTGAACTTGCTGAAAGAGCTTATTTAGAAAAGGTTTGTTAGAAATTATGATTGACTAATAATTTTTATTTTACTTAAAATAAACTATTATAGATTTATCACTTTTTATACCATAAAATTATTTTTAATCGTATTAACTTATCAAATTAATATTATAAATCTCTTATTTAGAAGATAAAAGATTTCTAGAAACTAATTAATAATCACTTTATTCATGTACTAAAACATAAATATTTTAAATTTAATAATTTAATTTGCATTATTTTTATCTAAATTTTCAAAATATTGATTTATTTTATTTGATATGTGTCCTTCAACATTTATTTTTAAGTTTTTATTAATAGTTCCAAATTCTTTTATGAAATTTTATAATTTCTGAATGTAAAACTTTTAAATTAAATTACTCTTACTTTTTCAATTACTTAACACTACTCTTATTGTTTTTAATAGGTGTTCTATAATTGCTCTTTATTCAACAAATAAATTAATAAATCTAACTTTAGAAACTTTCATATTGTTTTCTCAGTATCAGAATGTTGTCTTTATTCTAGTCAGAGTTCTAAACTAAAGCGATTAATGATGTTTTATTTAATTTGTAGTAATTTTTGGGAACTATATTAAATTTGAAAAATTAAAGTGAGCTTATATTATGAATTAACAATATAATTTAGAAATCCTCATTTTTAATTTTCATCTTACCAAACTTAAATGCATTCCACACAACTAAATTTTATATTTTCGTTTTTCAGAAATATATACTATAGTATCTATTCTTCGTGTAATCAATAATAAGCTGGTATTTTAATTTACATTATTTAATTAAATTAATTTATTTGTAAGATCTACAAATATGAAATCTTATTTAATTTAACTTTATTTATCTAAAAAATTATGAAAATGACCATCCATAAATTAATAAGATCAGCTAAAAAATTATTATTTATAAATCTGAATAAATTCGACTCATTAAAAAATAAAGAAATAGTTTATTTATGAAATGATTTTTCTATTAAAAATAAAAATATTTTTATGAAGTCTTTAGAGGATTTTTGGAATAAAATAGAATAACGTTTTAATGAAGATCATAAATAGATCGAAATATCAACCATTATTTATGAAAATGGAATCTATAAAGGAGAATAAAAATAAGGCAAAAGAATTGGAAAGGGAATATGTTATACCAACACAGGGTAAATATTATAAAGAACTAATTAGAGAAATTTATTGTGGAGAATGGAATATTTTATTTGAGGGTTAGGGATCATTAAAATATAATAATAAAGAGATTTATATTGGGTAATTTGAATAGGGCTTGAGACATGGTAGTGGAGAATACTTTTATGAAAATGGGGATAGATATGAAGGGTCATGGAAGAAAGATCAGAAGAATGGTAAAGGAAAGCTGTGGTATCAAAATGGAGATATTTTTGATGGTGAATGGAAGTTTGATGTTAAAGATGGTTAGGGAATCTTAAAAGCTTAAAAAACTCAAAATAATGATTATGAGTTCATTTACTAAGGTCAATGGAATGACGACTAGAGAAGTAAATAGGGTATTTACACACTTAAAAATGGGGATATTTATGAAGGAGGAATAGAAAATAGTAAAAAAAAAGGAGTTGGAACTTATAAATATTAAAATGGAGATATTTATACGGGTGATTTTTTGGATGATTAAAAGCATGGTTAGGGAATTTTATAGCAATCATAATTTACGTATGAAGGAGAATGGGTCTATGGATAGATTTCTAAGGGAAAATGTCATTATAGCAATGGAGAATCATATGAAGGACAATTTGTTAATGGATTAAGATAAGGATAAGGAAAATACATATGGTAAGATGGATCATCTTATGATGGAGAATGGAAATAAAATAAAATGAATGGAGTAGGAACATTTTATGATGTTGATGGAAAAGTAATACATGGAAGATTTGTAGACGATAAATTAATCCAAAGAAATGATTAGTATTGAAAGCTTTTATTTATTAAAATCATGATCATTAAGATCTTAAAGTATTTATCATACGTTAATACTTTTGTAATTTATAAAGTTTGATTAGAAATTATATTTTCAGGTATAAACTATTTTACTATTTTTTATATGATTGCTTTTTTCATTTTCTTTACTATAAATATTTTTATTATTTAGTATAAATTTGATTCTTATATTTACGATTTAATTTGATTTTTTTTAAATTTTATTAGAATATATTTAAACATTATAGTTAAGACTAATTAGTTGAATAATTAATTTGATTTTTAGTTTATTCATGAATAATTTTTATTAAATAAATAAATATTCTATATATGATTAGTAATAGTTATGATTTTATGAAAAAAGCTTAAGTATTTTGCAAAATCATGTTAGTTTAGAATAAATAAAAGAATTTTAGCCTCTATATAATAATAATAATTATTTTTTAGAATAATTTTTTCAACATCTATCTCATAATATTAAATAAAATGTAAAGTAAATATATATATATATAATAGTAGTATAAAGTTGGATTGATTCATCTTAAATCTATAGTTTCAGCTCTAGTGATTCCATAATTATTTTTGGAGTTGGATGATGGAAATACACTCCAGAAACGAAGACTTTCATCACCTGCTCCAGTAACGATATTTTATCCACAAGGAGATCCGCTTAAATATAATACTCTTTATGTATGTCCAGTTAGAGTAGCTAACTTAGACATATTAGAATAATTCCAAACAATAATTTAGTTTAAGGAATATCCATGTGTTGAAACTAATTCATTAGAATTTTTAGAGAACATTAAATTACAAACCTAAGAGCCTGTATCTATACATTCAACTTATTCTAAAGTTTGTGTATTAAAGAATCTAATGCATCTATCAGCAGTACCACCACCAGAAGCAACAATATTATGTTAATGAGGAGACCATCCAATAGCTTTAACAGCTGCTTAATGATGTGAGAAGTGAGTAAGTTCTCCTTAATTTTTAAGAGACCAAATGAACAACTTATTATCATTTCCTCCTGATGCTAAAAGTTATTCATCAAATGACCATTTTAATCCACAAATTTCTTATTTATGACCAACATATTTTTAAATAGATTGATTAGGAGATCTAACATCTCTGACTAATATATTTCTATCTCTACTTCCAGTCGCTAATAAATAATTATTCCATGCAAGTGATCCAATTCTACCTTAATGTCCATTCCATTTTCTAATAACTTTTTATTTAACTACATCCCAAATATCGACATCACCCATAGTATTTCCAACAGAGAGATGTTAATTATGTTATGACCAGGCTACACTACATACCATATCAGAATCTTCAAGTGTACATAAACGAGAAACTTTTGATGTATGTCCTGACCATATTAATACTGAATTTTCTAATCCTACTGCTAATGCATTAAATGGGGACCAATCTAATAAATTAAGGTAAAAATCATCCTATAAATTTTCAGCTTCCAATACTTTATATGGTCTCTTATTAATTTTTCTTGGGGGTTTTTCCGGTTCCACTTTTGTTGGAGTTTTAGAAAAATTTAATCCATTATTAATAATCTTATTTATTTCATTTTATTTATTTTCTGTCTTATAATTAAATAACTTTTAATTAATAGCTGGTGATTTACCTAATATTGAAGATTATAGTAAATTATTATAAGTATTGCCTTATATATTCTCTTCACTCATGAATAATTAATATAAATTAGATTATACATTACGTGGAATAAACTATATTTATTATTAATATTAATAAATACACGATCACTTTTATCTTTTGGACTAGTCAAAGATTGTTTATTAAGATCAATCTCTTTGATTGGAGTTTAATCATTCATTGAAAAACAAATGTATGTTTATTTTTTAATTAAATTTATCTGTTATATTATTATATTAATAAAATATATTGTCTCTCATTATTTCAATAACAAATAAAATTTGTATTATTAAAATTATACACTTCAAGAACGTAAGTGACCAAAATGATGAATGAAATAAGTATTGTCTCACTTAGTCAACTCCTAAATAACATTCACCTTTCACAATCTCATATTGATGAAGCTGCTCGTTTCTATATAAGACACAGCAATGATTAGAAATCTTAGCAATCTTTATGTGAAGAATGGTGTAATCACTTTCATTTTGCTAAAGGAAATGTTGATGGTGATAAAGTTATTATTTCCTTACTTCATATGGCATAAAGAGTAATTGAATCTGTCATTAAATTTGATGGGGCATGTAATCTACTATTTTATTCTTTAGATGCTACAATGAGAGATGCTTTCAAAAAATAAATTATTAAAGCTTTCTCTATATTAAAAGATCATAACTCTTCATAAGATTTAAAATCTTAAGTTAAAGATCTTCTTAAATAATGGGAAGAAAAACAAATCTTTTCAAAATCAGATATTTCTATTATGCTTGAAACTATTGATCCTAATAAAATCACCAAAGATAAAACAAAAACACAATTTGCTCCTCCTCAATATTTAATCAATTATGCCAAAAATTATAAGGTATATTTTATATCACAACTAATCAATATAGGAATTATAAATTCGATTACAAAAAATGAATGAATATCAAACCAAACTAGATGATTTAATTAATGCTGGAGCCTAAGATAAACTTAATCTGTATGATTAATTACTTGATTAATATTCCAAATCTGTTGAGAGTGTTTAAAAATATCGCTAACTTGTAATTAAAGATATAATTGATGAATTAAAAGAATTAGACAAAATACATTCTAAAAGTATTATTGACTTGAAGTACATTGCATAAAGGGTCTCTGATTTAAAGACAAAAAAAGAAAAAAGAATTCAAAATGAATATTATAATGATTAATGATAACATATTAATTAATTTAAATTTCAAAATGAAGTAAAATATTAAATCCCCTGCTCCATTTGCAATTACTGAAGAAAAATAAACAATTGAAACTTTGCTCAACCTTGTAAAACATTAAACCCAACAACTCAAAGATTAATAGATCTAATAAAGCAATGAGATTAAATTGTTAAGCAAAGCTTTCAGAGATTAAAATCAATCTATTCTCTAAAGCCAAAATTAAGAATATTTCTCTTTAACATCTAAATTAATTGAAGAAATAGAATCTGATAATTATTTTCAAGTTAAGTTAAATCAAATTTAATCTTACAATAAATAACTCTATAATGTGATTAAAGATCTTCAAAAAGAAATACCCGCATAATATTAATAGCTGTCCACTATCAATAGAATAATCAATTTTTACAAATGCATTTTCAAAATTTCTATTAAACAGCTCAACAAGGATGAAATTGCAATCATTTTTCATCAAACCCTTGGAAACATAAATAATGGGCATCCAATTATCATTTAATTGAAAGACAACAAATAACAACAAAGATTATAATTTTGGAATCAATTTACATCCTTAATGTGAAATTATTATTCAATATTTCTATTTATATTAATTTCTGTGTTTTTATTTCTAAAAATAAAGTTTTTATATTATTCATTTTTTAATCATTATATATTTTTTATTAAAGAAAATTCATTACAACATTATCAAAGTTTCTCTCATGACATATTATCTTCTTTTCTCATTAATATTTAAATAAATTTATAAAAAATTTAAATAAGGTTATGAAATATAACTACAAATTAAATAGAAAATTTTTCAGTAATTTTCAATTCAACATAAGCATAACCAATTTCTCTTTTATACTTGAACTAACATGGGGCTTATTTCAACTCTATCAACTATTTGGCTAGTTATTAATAAATTTTGAACTATATCCTCAAACACTTTCTTAACACTTTTGGAATTTAGTGCTGATGTTTTATAGAAAGAATAATTTTGAATCAAATGTCTTATGTTTTCATTTTTCTTTTATAGTTACTTATCCATTTTATTTCCAATAATAATAGTTTGTGTTACTGATTTATGAGTTAGAACAATATTCAACCATTTTTCTACATCTTGATAAGCTGTACTTGAACATAGGTCAAAGCATATAATTATTAAATTTGCGCTTTTCATACCTAATATAGTTGCTTATTCAAATTTTTTCAATCCACTTGTATCATAAATTTCAAATTTGGTTTGATTTTTTGTAAAGCTCCAATAATCCACACCAATAGTTTAAGAAATGTTAAAATTAAATGGCTTGTTTTTTAAAGCATTAATAATCGAAGATTTTCCACTATTTGATTCTCCAACTAAATAAATTCTAAAATTTTTCATGAAATTAAAATATTTATTAAGATAATAGAATTTTTAAGAATTTAATTATTAAGGTATTATATTAACTATCTTCTATTGTCAGAATTTAATAATATATAAAATGAATTATATTAAGGAATATTTTTAAACATCAAACTCTCTTTAGTATTTAGTCTTTAAATAAGAAGGTTGGAAAATTGAAGAGTGTTAAAAATAAAAGGAAAAAATAATGTAAAAGGAGATTTCATTTCTAACATATAATGTTTGGTTTGATAAGCACAATTTCAATGAAAGAGTCATCGAAATTTTAAAAATAATATAACAAAGCAATTGTGATTTTGTTTGTCTTTAAGAAGTAACCAGAAATTTTTAAATAATGATGTCCAACGACAAATTTATCTAATAAACTTATTACATTACTGGAAATGTTATTAGAGATTATGGTATTTTGATACTTAGTAAAATAAAACCAATATTTATTTCTGAATTACCATTCAATTCTTAATTTGGAAGAACCTTTTTATACATGGAATGTTAAATTAATGAGCATTCTTTAATTATTGGAACTTCACATCTAGAATCTATGGTTTATAATGAAAAAGCTAGATATGAATAATTGTAGTGTGTATACAAAGAATTAGAAAAAAAAGAAAATGTTATTATCATGGGTGATTTTAATTTGGAAACATAAAAAGATGAAGAATCAATTTCATCTGGATACAATGATTTATGGAAACAACTCTATCCTGACAATCCTGGATATACTTTTATAATAGAAGATTTTAAAAGAAGATTTGATCGAGTGTTGCTTAAGAATGGGTACATATTTATAATAAATAATATTAAAGTGGATTGTATTAAGCCAATAAAATAGAAATTATAGGTACTGAAGTATTGCCCATATATAAAATTAGAGAGCCATAAAAACAGGGAGAGGTTAAAACACCTTCTGATCATTATGCATTAAGAATAAATTTATATTATTTAAAATGATATCAAAATTTTTAGAATAATTTATTGCTAATCCAAAAGTTAGAATAGATACTCTTCTTCCAAATTATTTGATATATAGCAAAATGAATCCTAACGATGCAGAAGTTACTAATGAATTTAATAATATTTTGGCAATCATTAAAGAGAAGTTTTAATTGTCAATAAAACTATATATTTTATCTGTTAAAAGAGATATGGTACCTAAGAAATTATTTATAACACATTAAGTAGAGGAAAATTTAAAAAATACAGAACTTAATTCAACTTTAAAATCTCAATTACTTTTAGATCTTTAAGTTTTTTTATATGCTCTAACATAAATTTAAGATATATATACCATGTTTTTCAAATAAGATTTCTTTACCTATGTTGAAATGTAATGAATATTATGATAGAAAATAGGTAGGATATTCTTGATGACAATATTAATTTGAATTGGTTCAACAGTATAATAGAAAAAAAAATAGTAACATTTTTAATCAATATGCTGGGTACTGCTAAAGGATTACTATATTAAATGATTATTGAACAATTGAATTATAAAGATCTCATTCTTCTATTAAATAAAGTGGTTGTATAAATTTTCAATGACTGTTCTAACTCATTAAAAACAATAACTAATGAATTTATAAATATTACAAATAAATGTAATTTATGCAATAAATATCTTTTAATGGGTTTGTTTTAGGAATTGTCCGTTAGGGCATATGATTTAGTTGAAAATTACCAAGATTTTACAATTTTTCATTTATCAAGTTAGGATGCTAAAGAAGAATTTGCTCGACTAGTTATCAATTATTTTGATTTGATGAATTTATATATAAATAGGCATGATGAAGATAGTAAATAAATAATTAATTAATAGTATTTACTCCTTTTTAAAATACTGTATTGAAATACGTTAAAGAAAATAATGATGAATTAGAAGCTATTGAATAAGCAATTACAAAAATAACAAATAAAAATAAAAAAGTAGTAACACATAAAATTGTTTCTAAAAGAAATTAAAGATTTGGAATACTTTTAGACATAGAAAGTGAAGATGAATCTAAATAAAGATTTATTATACATAAGCCAATAGATAAAATTGTAATTACAAATGCAAAGCTTGTTTAAAACAGATGGATGTTTGTTGAAGCCTTAGAAGGACTAACTCCAGAATAATTACTAAAAAAGAAAGAAGAATCTAAAACTGAATATAGTTCAATTTAATAAGCATTTGATTCTTTGAATTTTTAATAAAGTGTTAATAAAATTCATGAAGATTTTGATATTAGTGAAGAAAGAATGTAATTTATTACATTTAATGAATCTACAGCTGAAATTTAGAGTGCTTTTTCTGAAACAATAAAAATAAATGGTTTATAAGGAGAAACATTTAATACTCATTTTTCTAGTGCAGCTGGTGATATTGGAGCATCTTTAGGGAATTGTTTAGCCAATATTAATAAATACAACTCTAGAAAAGAATTTTTGGTTGATTTTGGTTAAACTGCTGTTGTAAGTGGTTCTCTAACATATATAGCAACTTAAATGCCAGTTATTGGTTAATTATTTGCATTAGGAGCATTTGGATATTTTACAGCAAAAATATATTCAAATGAATCTTCTTCATAAAAAAGTAAAAATACTTAATTAAATAAATTACTAATTTCTACAACTGCAAATGTTGGTTCTGGATTAAGCGGAGCTTTAATAGGATAAGCTTTGATTCCAGTTCCAATATTTGGTGCTTTAATAGGTGGTTTTATTGGAGGACTCTTAGGAGGAGCTTCTTCATCAATGATCTTAGAATATATGAGTGAATAAAGATTTTAAAACTTATTTGAATTAGTTTAATTTAAAGAAGAAAATGGACATTGGGAATATTCAGATGAATATTTAAACCAATTAGGCTTAAGCAAATAAATATTTTTAGAATAATTACCTAATAATTTAAGATATCATGAAAATAAAGAAAATACATGGATTACTATTGTAATTTAATTATATTTATATTTTTAGATATCTTATACATATTGTACCGTCTATCAAGCTTAATTAGATTACTAAAAAAATAAAAAATAATAACTTGAAAATGAATCTAACAAGAACAATTCTTTTCAAGAAAACTCGTCACATTCAAGTAGTACTAATTTAGAATCAAATAAGTAGAATGAATAAGATTAGATTGAATTCCCAGAATTTATTGAATAAGCAAGTAAGTGGATCATTTAAAACAAATGTCTCATGGGATTATCATTGCCAAATACAGAAATTATAATTAAATGTATATTTCAAAATTTATGATCCATTTATATATTTAATCACTTTTTTATTGACACAATAACTGAATTTTTCTTCTAATTATTATTATATGTCATATTAAAATTTACTACTTTGCCAACACTTTGTTAAGTAAACAATCTTTTTTTGGGTCTTGTTATTGATACTTATTATTTTAATTCTTTTTCTTCCTAATCCTTCAAATCACATTCTTCTTATAATTTTTAATTTTTTTACATTTATTCTTGTAACTAACTTTCTAATCTATATTTAGTTTTTGACAAATTTTAAAATATACCTATTTTATTAATATATTTTACAATCTTGTTTAACTATCTAATCCTTAATTATGGTTAGTTAATTATTAAATTATGAGTTTTATTGCATTAAGTCCAATAACTATCTCTATAATAATTATGTTTCATCTTCTTTTGGTTAAACTTATGGTGTAGTGGGTTCAGATAATTGGAAGGATTCATTATTTAACATTTTTATCAATTATTCATGACTAAAACTCATACTTATTTTATTATATTATATTTAATATTTTATTATTCTACTCATTCTCTATTCAAATAATAATATAAAATTTAATCAAAAGTCACTGAAAATTACACTTGAAACTTTTTTATAAGCTCTTTTAATTTAAACCTTCATTCCAGGACTTGGAGCTGTAGAACAATCCGAAGGCCTATTTGGATTATTCAGATCAGGTATTGAAACTATTTATTATTGCTTCTAATTATTGATGATTTATTTTTTAATCTCAAAACATTCCTCATGCTTTTTTATGTAATTAAAAGTTAATAATTTATTTTGAATAATTTCATTTTATATTTATTTTTCAATTTCTTTGATTTAAGTTTATATTTCACCATTATTCTCTAAATTATGAAACAAATAAATACTTATTTTCAAATTTAATTCATTTTAGTGAGTTTGGATTTAATTTTTAAATTCATTATTTTACATCTTTAACTCTTCAATTTATGAAATAAGAAAATCAAATTTATCCAAAGAACCTGTTTTTCCACTAAACATAGGTGTATGAGGTTCACTTTTATCTTTATCCTCAAACATCTATTATAATTAATGTATACTAAAACTCATAAATATAAAAATAATAAAATAATATAAAAAAAAATATAAAAAGAGATATGTCCCTTTGCTAGGTTGTATTTTTGAAAAATCAATGAATCCTTATGATTGTAAAAATCATTTCCAAAACGACTTAATTGAATGTTTCTTACACGATAATAATTATTAGTCTTCATTATTCGTTAGGGTATAGAATGCTCTTTAAAATTAATACCTATTTATTTGATATATTGATGAGTTTATTCGCTTTAGTTTTTAGACTAAATTATCAATTTATTGACTAAGCATTTTTTGCAATTACTTTTATAATTTATGATAAATACCAGCAGCTTCATTCTAATATAATCAATATACGTTTTCATCTAATTTTAAATTCTATTGGGCTAAATAAGCTCTTTTATTTTTTAAATTAAATGTAATTCTCTTTTACTCTTATGCTTTGTTGTATTTATTGGTTTTATAAGTTTATTCCAAAAATAAAAGTATCAAAATGTTAATCTATCTCAAAAATCTTGTGGATTGTTACCGATTTTTCAATTTCTTGATCAATTTTTTTGGATAAAAGCCTTTTTATGATTCTTATTTTTTAAAATCAAACAAGGGAAAAAATAGATAATGTCACTATAGTACTTAGATTGATTGAGATTTTCAACAATCTTAATGTTCAAAAATGTAATAATCAATTAAAATGTTACGATAATTTCTTTAATACAAATCTTAAAAATAAAAAATCTACATCAATCTATGCAATAATTTTAGATATGAATTTTATAATCACCAAAATAAGACCTTCTAAAATGCATTAACTCATTTAATAATAATATTTTACACTCTTATACATTCAAATATTGGCTAAATTATTTAAAATCATACTTTTATCTATTGTTATTTAAAAAATATGCTTTTCCTACACTACTTTATTAATATATAGAAATTCAAATCTTTCTTTTGATTGAAATTTTTAACAAAATTTTTATAATTTTCAATAAAAATGAATATTGGGTGATCATGCTCCTTCTTCGGTAAATTTAACTTGTATATTAAGTTATTAACCTGGACCTGTACCTTTATAGTCAATTGGAATATCTTATTGGGATAAAGATTTTTAAGATGTTAATGTAGTAGAATTAAATCCTTTCACAACTTGATATTCAAGTCTTTTAGCAAAAAAGTCTGTCTTTAAAATATTTGCGAATGTAAACTTTAAATCTTCCAAAGCAATTTTTGTATTTAATTCCTTGCCTTTTAAAATTTTAAATTTACCATAACAATATATTTGTCTAACCCACTAAACGTAAATTTGACTTTCTCATAATCACCAAATTAGAGTTTTTGAGCTACCGAGGCTTGTTATTTCGACATTCTAATGATTTTTTGTGTTTATAAATTATATTGATAAAAAATACTATTATTTTTATACAACCAAAAACTCAGAATTAACATAAAGTAAATCAATTCAATACTTACAAAAATAATTCTCTTTCACATTTGTAAATTTTAAATAATAAACAGAATTTCATTACTCTAATTATCAAAGAAATATCAAAATATGTTAAAGTTGGGTTTTTAAATTGCTCAAACTTAAACTTAGAAATTTAATAAATTTTCCTTATTATAATATATTTATTTATTATATTAAATGCCATCTCCAGAAAGAAAGAAGAATAAACATAAGAAAAAAGATAAGGATAGTAGTCATAGATCTTCTCCAAAGCACAAATCGAAGAAAAAAGTATCTTTGCTTACTAAAATTAGAAATCTTCAAGAACACCAAGTAGAGGAAAAAAAAAGGATTATAAAAAAGAGATTAAAGAATCTCCACATAATACATAGACTTTAAGTGACAAACAATTAACAGATATGTTTGGAAGCCTTCCTGGATTTAACTTAGAAATTTTAAAGAAGATTTAAGAGCAAATGAAGGATGGAAGAAGGCCTTCAAATGATGATTAATAATAATTGATGGGATTATCAGGTATATAATAAATCAATAAACTATAGCATTTGGTTTTCTTCCAATTATTAATTAGCAAATTCCAATTGTTTTACCAACACCTGGAACAAAAAAAAGCTCAAGGTAATAAAAAAATATGAAGAATACTTTTAAGCAGAGGTTGTTAGTACCTTTTACTTATGATACATTAATGGTAATCTTAGAAGATTAGTTTTATTAAGAATAATTGACAGACGATATATTTTCTTAAATTAAAAAAAGAATAATTGATCTAATTAAAAAAAGAGTGCAAGATTAAAAATAAGAAGAATTTAATGAGAAAATAGAAAAATTAGAATAGGACCTCAAAAAACCCATTATTTAAGATGAATCATTATAGCAATAATAACAACAATAGCAATTAAATTTAATTCAAAGTATATTTAAAGTGCTTCAAAATAATAAAGAAGATGGAACTAATAGTTAATTAAATACAGATATCAAAGATTTACTGTAACCGATGGAAATAGAAACACAAACTAATTTTGAAAAAGAACTTTATGAGGAAGCTAAATTATTGTTTAGGTGAAGATGACTATCAAATTATTATCAAATAATTTATTAAAATATTAAAATATTAATTATTAATTTAACTTAATGCCCACACCAGATAGAAAAAAAAATAAACATAAAAAAAAAGAAAAAGTTAGCAGCCACAGATCTTCTTCAAAGCACAAATCAAAAAAAAAAGTTTAATTAATATTTAATTAGAAATCATCAAGGACATCTAGTAGAAATAGAGATAGGAAAAATTATAAAAGAGATCATAAATCTTCACCATTAAAAATTCCAATGTTTGGCTAAGATTTAATGAAAAAACTATAGGAAATTAATAATGGCAAAAGAACTGATGAATTGATGAGTATAAATATATTATAAGAAGCTTTATCGTTACTTCCATATATGAAGCCTTAATAAATTAATAATGAATCAATCATAATTGAATAAAAATTATAGAAAGATAAGAGAAGCATGCAAAAATAAAGATTGCTTATACCAATAAATTACGATTCTTTTATGATCATTTTGGATGACCCTTTCTATAAAGAATATCTTTCAGAAGAAATGCTCAATTTCATGAAAAAGAAATTAATTATTAGCATGAAAAGATAAGTTATTGATTAAAAATCAGATAATTTTTTATAAAAAATCGACAGATTAGAATAAGATTTAAAAAAATAGACAATTTTTGAAGAATTAGAGAATTAAATTTAGTTAGGTGTTATTAATAGTATTTTCAGTATTTTGAATAACAAGAAGGATTCAGAAAATGTTTTGGATCCTGAAATTAAAGATATTTTTTAATTAATGGAAATAGAAAAGCCTGATATTATTCAGGATGATTTATATTAGGAAGCTAAACAAATGTTTTTATGATATTTATTAATATTATTATAAAAATTATAAACCTTTTGCATAACATTTTAAGTTAAATTTAATTAGTTTGATAATAAGAAAATAATCAAAGACGATTACCAAGCTTGCCTGAAATTTGAGAAAAACTATAATAGAAACCAAAAAAAAATCTATCAAAATAAAAATAATGTGAGCAATTTCAAAACTAAATAAATGCAAAGTTTAACAAATATTCTATTGGAAAAGATTATAGAAATAAACTGTTTACAATTAAACATAAAGTTACTGAATTCAAAAGAATCGCCAAAATAACAAACTGAAGGTTAATTTAAAGAATATATTAATAAATTCAATCTAAAAACAATGTAATTAATAATTTTGTAATGTGATCATTCAAATATTATAAGATTGTTTTTGATTTTATAATTATGAAAATCAACTTTATTGTAGAAAGACTGCAAGTCAACCCGACCCCAACTACACTATATATATAGCAATATTATCGGATATATTTTAGACCATCCCCATTTTTGTTTAATATAATTTTTTTTTATTTATATTAAAAAATCTAAATCTCTTAAATAATTTTTTTTTAATGCTGATGTTAAATAAAAACCATTTATCTATTATCTCTAATAGTCAATCCCCATTTGGCTATTGGGGAGGGTGGAGGCCTTTTTTCAGTTTTTTGTTACACATCCAACTCTCGTACTACTTATGTTTTTCGGGCTAGTTATATTGTGTGTANATTTAATGAAAAAACTATAGGAAATTAATAATGGCAAAAGAACTGATGAATTGATGAGTATAAATATATTATAAGAAGCTTTATCGTTACTTCCATATATGAAGCCTTAATAAATTAATAATGAATCAATCATAATTGAATAAAAATTATAGAAAGATAAGAGAAGCATGCAAAAATAAAGATTGCTTATACCAATAAATTACGATTCTTTTATGATCATTTTGGATGACCCTTTCTATAAAGAATATCTTTCAGAAGAAATGCTCAATTTCATGAAAAAGAAATTAATTATTAGCATGAAAAGATAAGTTATTGATTAAAAATCAGATAATTTTTTATAAAAAATCGACAGATTAGAATAAGATTTAAAAAAATAGACAATTTTTGAAGAATTAGAGAATTAAATTTAGTTAGGTGTTATTAATAGTATTTTCAGTATTTTGAATAACAAGAAGGATTCAGAAAATGTTTTGGATCCTGAAATTAAAGATATTTTTTAATTAATGGAAATAGAAAAGCCTGATATTATTCAGGATGATTTATATTAGGAAGCTAAACAAATGTTTTTATGATATTTATTAATATTATTATAAAAATTATAAACCTTTTGCATAACATTTTAAGTTAAATTTAATTAGTTTGATAATAAGAAAATAATCAAAGACGATTACCAAGCTTGCCTGAAATTTGAGAAAAACTATAATAGAAACCAAAAAAAAATCTATCAAAATAAAAATAATGTGAGCAATTTCAAAACTAAATAAATGCAAAGTTTAACAAATATTCTATTGGAAAAGATTATAGAAATAAACTGTTTACAATTAAACATAAAGTTACTGAATTCAAAAGAATCGCCAAAATAACAAACTGAAGGTTAATTTAAAGAATATATTAATAAATTCAATCTAAAAACAATGTAATTAATAATTTTGTAATGTGATCATTCAAATATTATAAGATTGTTTTTGATTTTATAATTATGAAAATCAACTTTATTGTAGAAAGACTGCAAGTCAACCCGACCCCAACTACACTATATATATAGCAATATTATCGGATATATTTTAGACCATCCCCATTTTTGTTTAATATAATTTTTTTTTATTTATATTAAAAAATCTAAATCTCTTAAATAATTTTTTTTTAATGCTGATGTTAAATAAAAACCATTTATCTATTATCTCTAATAGTCAATCCCCATTTGGCTATTGGGGAGGGTGGAGGCCTTTTTTCAGTTTTTTGTTACACATCCAACTCTCGTACTACTTATGTTTTTCGGGCTAGTTATATTGTGTGTACTTTAAATCGCATTATATTCCTTATATTCATAAGTCAAAATTGAATTCGAATTATTTTCCTTATATTCATAAGGACTTGTTACGAAGGTCAAGCCGACCCCAACACCACTATACATTGCTGGACTAGGTAGGTATTATAAGGAACTAGGTTTCATTAGCCAAACCCCTTTTAGGGTAAAAAAATTGATTTATAAATAATTTCAATTTTTTTTTTTAAAACTTTTGATCAAGTAACCAAATTGAATGGATCTTTTTAAAAATATTAAAAAATTTGTTTGTTTCAGTTTAATTTATTATATTAAGAGAATATAATATACTTAAACAAAGAGAAAGGATGTTATTTTATAATTTAATTTGTGATGAAAAAATATTTGAAATTATATATTTAAAATTAAGAAGAAGCATCATAATTTTTTTTCTACCCCATCTTATTGTTAACTCGAGGCAATAGCATATATAGCAAAATAGATTTCATCTTGTTAATGATTTGATTGTTAGATTTCTTCTTTTTAATCTGTATTTGTTATTTATAGATCGGCCATAATTTCTTCTATTGAGATTTATGTTTATTAGGTTTTTCTTTGTATTTGATTGAAAAGAGGTTTTGAATACTCTTCTTCTTAAAAATCGTCCTCCACTTGATAAATTTCTTATTTTTCTAGTTGGTCGCTTTCGGTTTCTTCTATGGGGTGGCAGTTAGGTATATTTAGATCTTATGCATAGCTCTAATTTTATGAGATTTTTTCTTGTAATTGATGGATAGGAGGTACTTCATCATTATTCTTTTAATGAATTTTTTAGTTCTCTATTTGATCTTCGTAGATATTTTCTTCTTAACATTATTCTATTTGGTTATTCGATTTGAATGAGTTGGTGAAATTTTCTTCTGCAGAGTTTTAAGTTTATTGGATTTTTTCTTGTAATTGATGGATAGGAGGTACTTCATCATTATTCTTTTAATGAATTTTTTAGTTCTCTATTTGATCTTCGTAGATATTTTCTTCTTAACATTATTCTATTTGGTTATTCGATTTGAATGAGTTGGTGAAATTTTCTTCTGCAGAGTTTTAAGTTTATTGGATTTTTTCTTGTAATTGATGGATAGGAGGTACTTCATCATTATTCTTTTAATGAATTTTTTAGTTCTCTATTTGATCTTCGTAGATATTTTCTTCTTAACATTATTCTATTTGGTTATTCGATTTGAATGAGTTGGTGAAATTTTCTTCTGCAGAGTTTTAAGTTTATTGGATTTTTTCTTGTAATTGATGGATAGGAGGTACTTCATCATTATTCTTTTAATGAATTTTTTAGTTCTCTATTTGATCTTCGTAGATATTTTCTTCTTAACATTATTCTATTTGGTTATTCGATTTGAATGAGTTGGTGAAATTTTCTTCTGCAGAGTTTTAAGTTTATTGGATTTTTTCTTGTAATTGATGGATAGGAGGTACTTCATCATTATTCTTTTAATGAATTTTTTAGTTCTCTATTTGATCTTCGTAGATATTTTCTTCTTAACATTATTCTATTTGGTTATTCGATTTGAATGAGTTGGTGAAATTTTCTTCTGCAGAGTTTTAAGTTTATTGGATTTTTTCTTGTAATTGATGGATAGGAGGTACTTCATCATTATTCTTTTGATGAATTTTTTAGTTCTCTATTTGATACTAATTCTAAGTGAATTTATTGAGATTTGCTTAAAAATTAAAAAATTTTATTTCTAAATTAAATTGAATGAAATTTAGAATAGAGCTTTCTTTAGCATTCACTTTTTATCTTTCAATCCAATTGCAGATTTCTTCAATAACATTGATGCTACTTTACTTTTAAATTCTATTTTTTTTATGTTTGGACTACATTTTTGTTAATTTGTTGAGTAATTAATTATACTTGCCATTATTCTTGTCTTCATTTTACTCAAATTCTTTGGTTTCAAAATCAACTTAAAGTACTAGATGTAATTAAGCAATATTATCTTTAATCCACCCCCATACATTATTAATGAGCCAGCGCATATTACGAAACTCTAAGATAAATTCTTGTAAAATTTTTAAACTTAGATAGGCATCCTTTTTAAGCTGAGTTGAATTTTTTTTAATCTTTGCCTTGGAATATTGATTTCTTATATAATCTAACATTGTAATAATTTGTTTGTGCTTTTCAGGCTCACTTTGATGTTCATCATTTTAATATTTAACATACTCTATAAAATAAGTAAAAAAAAGAGAGGCTCTTCTTTTTGTTAATGCTTTTAGCAATGGTATTAAAAATTTGTAATATTCTATAAATGTTAATGGACCTTGCATATTCATTTTTCTGTATTTGTGTGCATTTCTAAAATAAGAAATACATTAAACAAAATTAGGATCTTCGAAGTATGTTTTAATTATTAGGCTCTGAGCCTAGATTTTTTCTTATTTTTAAATCATAATTTTATTATTCCTCTTGTTTAAGATAATTTCAAGAGATAAATATTAAATTTTTCTATCGAGGATAGAATATTGATATTTTCTGAGTAAGATGAATAAAATTATGATATGTAGAAGAATTCAAGAGATTTTCGGCAATGAAAGAAGAGAGAGAGAACTATGATTTTTTCAGCCTTGAATCAAGACATTTTAAATACTTAAGAGAGGAACTATATAAATATGGTTAAAAAAATCAACAAAGATTGATCAATCAGCAAACTCAATTATTGCTCTAGTCTCATTATAATCTCTCATAATGAATAACCCTTTAGGTTTCTTTTCTCTTCTTTAAACCCTAAGTTTTTTGTTTGTGAATTTTAAATTATATTTTAAGCATAGTTCTTCATAATTTGGAATGAGGAAGCAATTCAGTAGGTATTAAACGGGTTTCCAATAGATAAGGATTATTGCTAGTATAATTTTTACAATTAATGGGTTTGCAAAGCTCAGATGGATAGCTTATTACATCTTGAAATAATGTGAATTAAATTTCCTACTAACAAACAAAACACAAATTCATTATAAAATATCAAATACAAAAATATTTAGATTATGAGATTGCTCATCTTTTCCGAGAAACAATGATGTCATTGTGGCTCAAACTCTTATTCTAAACATCTTATCATTAAGTAGAAATGTAAGATTCAACCTTCAATTGAAATGATTGAGGCATTGTAGAAGAGGAGTGTGGAAAGTATTCATTTTATCAACTGTCTCAGTATTAAAAGATTGCATTTATATTTTACTACGATAATTCAAATATTTCATAATTTTAACAGAAGTTTCTTTACAAAGCTATATATATTTAAATTCTTAAATGCATTGCTATTCTTGTGACATATTTATGCAGCCTATTTTCTGAATAAGATAAAAATTAATTCTTAGATACTAAAATCATATTTTATATAATTAAAAATTAATATTATTGTTATTTTTAATTTTTATTTCATACTATCATGTACTTCACTAGTATGTGGCTTTGAAGATCCAAAAATCCAATGAAGAGAAAAAACCTACATTGGGATCTCTCAATCCCCAATATAGAGCAATGGCTCACTCAAAAATCAGCTTTCTGCCTAGGTCTCAAATAGCTTCCTTAATAGGCCAAGAGAAGCAAATATGAATTCTAATTGTACAGTAATTGTTTATTAATTTGATTGGTGCATTAAAATTATATTATAAAAGTTCATGATTGAGTATTTTAATATTATTTAAAAATTGAAAAGATACTTCTAGCCATTGGTTTATTGATGTTAATAGGAACACTTTAAAATGTTCAATAGCATAATTCACAAATTATTAAGCAACCTATAATAAATAATACTAATAATCTGAACTACTATATAGATTATAAGTTTATGAGGCTAACCTTGCTCTGTTGGAAGAAAAATCTTTGGAGAAACATAATTCACAGATCTTACAGATGAAGAATTTGCAGCTACATACTTAATTCATCAAGTTCTTCCAAAAGATTTGGAAGTACCGAAAAAGAATTTGAAAAATGTCAATTCTACTTCTATTGATTGGAGATCAAGAGGTGCAGTCCAATATGTTAAAGATTAAGGATAATGTGCATCAAGTTGGGCATTTAGTGCAACTGGTGTTCTAGAAGGATTTTACAAAATTAGAGATGGCGAATTACCAGATCTATCAGAATAATAATTAGTTGATTGTTGTAACATTGACATGAATTATGGATGTAATGGAGGAATATCCTAAGAACTATAAATCTTGGGATAATTCTGTTATTCCATAATGATAATATTTATAAACATTATTCACAATATTAATTCATGTATCCCTTCTAAGAACTACCACCCTATAAAGCTTATTTAATTAAAAATTTAAAATTAATTTTTTCAGGCATAGGATTCATTACTTGAATTCTAATTAAAGTTGAAAAATGTTATTTTTACTATTCAACAATCATTAAATTTACAGCAAATATAATTTCTAAATTAAATCTAATATAGACAAAATCTATTCAAAAAAGAAAGCAGCTCTAAATTACATTAATTATTGTACAATATACACAAAAAATTCATGATTAATTATAGCAATTAAAGTAAAATGCCACCTGAAACATATTTGATACTTTGAATTTTTAATAATCTTATTTACTTAATTGTTGTTACAATACCAAAAATGTCTGAAAAATTCACTTTAAATAGCTTAGTCAATCTTCTTCTTTTTGTTCTAAGAATACAGCATTTTCATATAATTGAATTATAAAATTTAACTAATTAGAAAATATATATATAATAAAATAATATAGGTTTTATATTCTCCAAATAAATTTAAAATAAACCTTATTTTATGATTTTATCTGGTAACTTAATCAAATTTGTTTATAAGTATTTATCATTATAAGAAATACCTTAATTTAATTTTTGAATAATATAAAGAGATTTATTTATGGTGTAATTTTTTATAAATGAGCATTAATAATATTATTAAATGGATATTAGGAAACTCATTCCTAGTCAACTTTTTGTAGTAATTATTTTGTTAAATAGTCATCAATAACAAGAAAAAAGTTTTCTTTTTTTTAGATGATGTAAAATTTGGTTAGCAAAAAGACTGGCTATAAAGACAATGTTTATAAACTCTTTTTTATGCTTATTGCTAAAATATTTTATTGAATATTTATTTGAAAAAAGCATATGAACAAAATATATATTAATCAAATATATTATAAAAGATACAGCACCTATTCTCGATTTATATAATGTATAATATTTTGGAAAAAGATTTAAAATTTAATGTAAACACAAAATTCATTTGATATTGCTCCTGCAGAAACAATGCTGTTAAAGGATTTCTAATAAAAAAAATAGGTTCGCTTTAGGTAAGCTTTGGTGGCTGGTTTAATTCTTGCTGCTATTTTGAGTCTAACCATTATTTTTACACCTTAAGGTTAGAGTGTTCCATCTTACACATTGAATTAGAGAAGTTCTTATTATTCCTAAGATTAATTATGTGTATACTAAGTATCTACGGGTTAAAATAATTGCACTTTAATTACCACAAATACAACTACTGTCACTATAGATGCAAATGAATAAAATTCCACCCACTTAATAATTTTAGATGGATTATAGGTGAGTTAAAATATAACCTATTCTAATGGTACAAGTTTCTAAGATAATTTATTTGATGCCAATTTGAATATCTCTCAAGAGTTATCAAGAAACCTTAGAATCCTTAAAGATTAGGCTGATGGATGTTATGGTCCTTGTTATGACGAGATTCCAATGGTTAAATATGTAACTGATAATTCAAATGGTTAAGTAATTGATATTGTTGTACCATCTTTATTAAATGGTTTAATGTTATAAACATTGATCGCAACTATCTAACATTTAGGCCCAAATGTTTAGGAAACTCAAATTCATAAAGATTAAATTTTAAATCCATATATTATTGGAAAATATTAATTCATTTCTAAAAGAAACATAGAATAGAGCTGGTTTGGAAATACCAAGGTTACAAAATAAGTTACACATGAGGACTGTTTAAATGATAATTTTTTAATTGGAGATTAGTTTTCTTAAAACTAAACAACATCTTTGAATAGATAAAAGAAAATTATTTCCTCTACAATTTCAGTGTAAATTGTTATGGATCACTCTGTTAAACCTGAAGGTGCTGATGTAGAATATTCTTATAAGACTATAGTTACTGATGAGTCAAGCTTGATTTTAAGAAACTCAAAAATTGATTTAGAATATACAGACCTTTTGAATGACATTCAATTAAAACAAAATATCTAAAGCTATTCTTTGGAATCTATATAGGAAAGACTTATTAAAAAAAATTAAAAGAGAAGTTTAAATATGTATGAGATGAAATTAAAAGCAGAATAGCACAGATTACTTTTATCTGAAAGTCTTCCAAATACTTCCTTGAGTTGTCCTTCAAATGGATTAATTGATTTTTAAAAGACAGTTTTAACATTTACAGTTAAAGGAACTAAATTAGAATTAGATTTAGCACTTAAAGGTACAGCAGGAAATGGAATTGCTGACTTAAACATTAAATTCTGTGTTGCTATGGAAGGAATGTGTTTATTCGAAATTATCAATTCAAATCTAAATTACACAGGATAACCATTTAGAGATATTGAACTTGATGGAATGTAAAATATTTCCCTTTTCTAAACTGAATTAGTTGTATAAGGATTTACTATAGGTGTTGGGGCTGATTTTAGTTACGGATTTCTTGTTTAATAAAATGTTGAATAAAATACAACCATCTTTTCAGTTGCAGATACCTTCATAGTTCCTGTATTGTTGACAGTCTATGGAGAATCTTCAATTCCAGATTTAGTGGCTGTTCGAACAGCTGTAGTCGCTGATATATTCACAGGGAATGTGACAAGCAATGTTGCTTTTGGTTATGATGAAAAGATCCAATCTATTAATTCAAACCAATACACATTGAACTTAAACTTAGATATGGAAGAATTCAGAGCTATTGTAATAGCATAATATCAACATAGTGAGTTATCAACAAAGGAAAAATGTAAAAGACATTTTGGATTCTTTAAGGTTTGTTACCCAATTCCTGTTGCAGGTCTATTGGGAGATTGGTAAAACCTTTATTATAATAATTGGGGTTTCCCAGTCCTAGTTTAGAACTATACTTTGTATGGTATCTAATCAGACTGCTTCATGAAAAATGAATGAATCATAAAATAACAATTATTCAAAAACATTTTCATTTTCTTTTCGATTTCTTTTTCTTTCAACTCTTATTTCTTATTAAATAAATTTTATATTATAATTTTCTAATTAATACTCATGTGTAATTTAAAAATTAAAACTAAGCTTTTTCTTTTTTTTCCCCATCTTTCAATAAATACAGATTATAAATTATAAATGAAATAAGGCTTAAGAAAGTTGTTATATAGAGATAATAAAAGTCATAAAGCAGAGATTTTTCATTAAAAGTCGCCCACCATATTGATGATAATCCAAATCCAAGACTTTAACATAAATTGTAACCTGCAAATGCATGATTTTTTGTAGAAATTTATTTTGTTACTACTATTAGAGCTAGGGATGATATAGAACTATCTGAATATCCAACTAATCCACATCCAAATAAAGTTAATAAATAATTCTATTTTGTATTTCCAAATTAAGATAATAAAATACCAACAAAATTGATTATAAAACTACAATATAATACATAGTTTTCTTTAAGTTTTTCACTTAATTTACCTGCTGTAATCCCACCAATCACTTAACCAATTCCAGTTATTAAAAATGTTATAAAAATTTTATTATATAATTCAGACTCTTAAAATCCTAGTTTTTGTATAAGAACAGGTATAAATAGATAAATAACAGAATTCATCAAACCAGCAAAAATTAGCACTCCTAAAAATAAGCAATATTTTTTATATGTGAGTTATTTGTATAAAGCTAATAATTAATATTTTATTTCCTTGACTATTGATATAGTTTCTCTGTTCTTCTAAATTTTATTATCGCAAATGCAAAAAAATAGAGCTTATAGTGTAATGGAGATGATAACAATTATGATGTAGAATGTAAATAAATCAAAATATTAGTTTAAATAATAGCCTTAAATATATTTATTTACATACCTATTATATTTGATAAAATATTAGACATGCTAGTAAAAGAAAAACTTATTCCAAAAAATAATTCTCGATTTGAATTGTTACACATAAAATTAATGTAAGCAACAAAAGAAACATAAAAAATTGTTTAAAGAACTCCAGCAATCAAAGAGGTAATCACTGTGATAGTTTCAACCAAAACCTTTGAGCATGATTCCTAACATCCTGCCACCAAAATTCCTCCAACTAAAAAAATGTTTAAGTTAAATGAACTAATAATGAATATTTTTTTAAAGTTGACAGACTCAATAATTTTATCAACTACAAGTAACATCATTGGCCCAAAAAGATAATTGCAAACATATTAGAGTGATGCTAATGTATTAAAACCGTAATTAGAATACATCGTATAAAGAATATTTTTTCCAGCGCTGGTAAAACTTAATAATAGCATAATGATGGAGTCAAAATAAACCAACTAAAGAAAGCCATCAAAATATTCTGATTTCATTTTGAAAAAATTTTTTAGTTTAAAATATTTTATTTTTGATGATGCAACCAGAGTTTTTACTACCCGTAAAAATAACTTGCAAATTTTGTTTCACAACTTGTAAAGGTAAGATAATTTGAAAAATTCGGATTTTTAATTAATTAATTCAAATAAATTAATTTCTAAAAGAAAATACACAAGCAAACGGATAATTTGAGTTGTCAAACCCTTTATTGAGAGAAGTTGCTCAATTAAAGATAAGGAAATTCAAAAAAAATTTTAAATTGGATATGGTAGTTCTTAGAAATATGATTTCTACTTTTTTTTTTATGAGTAAGATGGATCTTAGCAATTAGGAAGGGGTTGGGGTTGGCCCACTAGTAGTTTTAATTCAGCAGTCACAATATGTTGAATTGTCTC